CCGCGCTGCCGCCCGCACTCCACCTCCGAGGCGGGTGTCCGTCTCCAGCTCTGCTTTTCTTTTTACTCCCCCCCCCACCCGCCCCGGGTACTTTGAAAAGCCTCGAGATTCTATTTGTTCATTCGACAAACGCTCTCTGACCCTCCCAGGCCCCGACCCGCTTGGGCGCGGAGGGGCCGCCGCCCTCCCAGCCCCATCCCCGGCAGCAGTTCCGCGGGGGCGCGCTAGAGGGCGCCGCGCCCCCGCCGGAGAGTCCGCGCTCGGCTGCAGGTGTGCAGGAGCCGGGCTGCAGGTGTGCGGGAGCCGGGCTGCAGGTGTGCGGGAGCCGGGCTGCAGGTGTGCGGGAGCCGGCGGCAGAAGGGGGCCGTTGAGGCCCTTGACACTGAGCCGCACGGCCCCGAATGAAGAGTCTACACAACTCGCATCTTCAAAACAAAAAAGTTCCCTTGTTTGGATGCAGGAGCAAAGGAAGAGATATCACCGCGCTGCCATTCGACACCCGAGGCGGAACGCTAGGCCTTGCGGATTTGTGCAGCTATGAAAACGTCCAGGACCGCTCTCATTCCAGAATGCCAACTACAAACATTTGAAATCAATAAACCTCTTATCAAATGTCTAGAAAGAGCAACCGATCCACTGTGCTTTTAATGCAGTCTCAGAAATGGTTGACTACATTTCAAAGAATTAAGCTTTCCCATATTATAACTGTCCCAATAGTGACCCAAACAATCGAGCCAGGTCATACAACAAACACATACTTAGCCAAGGGTGCCAGGTCTGTGCTGTGGACGGACAGAGTCCCCACTTCTGGGGCCCCCATTTAAAGAGGGGCGATCCTGGGCCTCGCCGGTGGCGCAGCAGTTGAGCGCTGGGTTGCAAAGCTGCCGGCCGCCTCTGCAGCGCCGGTTTGATCCCCGGCCACCAGTGAGGGTCCCACATGGCGCACAGACCTCTCCTGCTCTGCCCACTGCTCCCCTCAGCTGTGTGTTTTGTCAGTCTGCCTGTTCTGTTCCCCACTCTGGCTCTGGTGAATCCTCTCACCCTCCCGCGCTTCTGACTGTACCCAGTGCTTGTATAAATAAATAAATAAATCTTTTTAAAAAAATAAATAAAAAGTAAAAAAAAAAATAAACCTTTAAATAAATAAATAAATAAATAAAGAGGGGAGATCCTGAACAAGCCCCAAATGACTAAACGAGGGTAAGTTCGTGACAAATGCTAAAGAGGAAGCAAAAGAATAGATGGGGAGTTGGCAGAGAGGGTTTCAGACAAGCCCTCCCTGAGAAGGCATCTAAGCTGATACCTCAAGAAAGCACCCAGGGAAGATTTGGGAGCAGAATATTCCAGGACAAGGGCCAGAGAGTGTTTAAAGAGTCAAGAAGAGCAGGTGCGGAAGGGGATGCACACTTGGCAGGGAAGTTGGTCTGGGGTTTTGTTCTGTCTTGTTTGCCTATTTGGGGTCACAAATAAATTGAATTGTAACAAATATTTTTTCTGCATCTATTGAGAAAATCAAGTGTTCTGCTTCCATTAACCTGCTGAAGTGGTATATTTTTTTAACAGATTTTTCTGATATTGAGTTATCCTTATGCTTATTCAAGAAAACCTTTTTGGTTGTGACATTTTCAAATGTATTTCTAGATCTAATTTGCTAATATTTTATTTTGGATTTCTGCAATTATATTCATAAGTGAGACTGGCCTAAAATTTCCCTTCATTGTGCTGTCCTTATCTGTTTCATTTCGAGGTTTTACTGGACTCACTAATGAATTTTGGGAGGCCCCTCCCATTCTCTGTAACTAATTGTTGGATGAGGATCTCTCTGCATCTAAGGGGACAAGCCCCTCTGAGCCTCCCATTCCCGAGTTTGGGGAAATGAGGGTTATATTTGACTATTGATTCAATTTAGATCATTTAAGTCTTGTTTAATTTTTTTTCTGAAAAATTATCTATTCCATAACCTGTCATTGCAGATCAAGCAAAAACTGAGAACTTAAATCTTAAGAAACAGCAGGCAAGAGGCCATGAGGCACACAGCACAACATTCCAAATATGAGATGGCACAGGAAAGGCCTGGGAGAAGCCCTGGAGCACGGCTGGACAAGCAAGAACCCCCAGGCCCGTCAGTTTCCCTCCCTGCTGAGAGCACAAGGCTAGGATGACCTCACGAGTGTGCTCCCGGACTGGTTCTTTGGGCCTCCGTCACCCCAGCCACTGCCTCTGGACCAGATGTGCACCTGCACGCAGGGACGCCATCAAAGGCACATGGGCAGTGCCAGGAGAATGGACTCTGCCCCTGGGGGCCCTCAAGCCACACACAGTGAGATCACACCACACACCTGTGTGCAAGACAAAGAGCAGGTGGCTAGATGCAGGGGGTGGGAGGGGGATGACAGAAAGGAGGACAAGCTCGCTAGAGGCCGCAGACGTGAGCGAAGGCACCGGGAACAGGCTGCTTCTCATGTTCCCTTCAAGGCTGAGCCTCCCCTAACCCCAGAACTATACGGCCCATTCTGTCTCTTGGAGCCCCACACCTCGTGCCCATAACTCCTGGGGGTGCTGACATGGACTGGAAGCTGCTTGTCCCCTCTGTCCTTCAGCTGGTGCCTCTACCACCTCTGGGACCTGGCAGGCACCATCACACTCCCCCACCCATCTCCAGCATCCTCTCACCCTTCATGAGGGTGCAGTTCCTCAGCTCTGGACAACAAAGGCGCTCTTGAGCCCACCAGCTGTGGGTCCAGTCTTGGGGACACTGCCTGTCACCCAGCTGGTTTCCACATGCCGGGGGATGGATGCCCAGCTCTGCACCAAGGAGCGAATTCTGGCCTTCCCCACACCCAGGCCGGTCCCCAGGTGCTGCCAGAAACAGCCGCACGGAGAGGATCCTTATGGAGATGGTCAGCGGCGAGGGAGGCCGCAGGCGGCAGAGCCTTGTGTTTGAAACGCTTCCTAGTCCCGGGGCGTCCAAGCGTAGCGGTGGTGTTGGCTTCACGTGGGTTGAGCTAAAAGGGTCTGACGACCTTGCAGAGACAGGAAGCGCCGAGCAAGGTGATTTTCTGTCTGGGCCGCGAGAAACTGCAGTTCTCTTGCCTGAAGGGGGAAAAATGCAGTTCCAGTTCTGGGAGCAGAAGGAAGGAGGCTGAGTCCCGGGGACACGGGAGAAGGGCTGCCTCTTGGGGACACGCTGCACATGGGGGCCGCTCCATCTCGCCTCAGCTGTCCTGAGCGGCCTCCACAGCCCCGGCAGCTGCAGCGTTGCGCACCTGGGAGCTCCAGGACTAGTCTGCACCCCGGGCTCAAGAGAGAAAGGAGCTTGGCCAAAGCCACCTGGGCAGACCGGACCCCACCTTGACCCTGTGCCTTGTGTCCAGTGGAGGGAGGCCTCAGGGCAGCAAGTGAGGGGCTGCACGCCAGCACTAGGGCACCCTGGCCCCTCACCAGGGAGGTGGCCGCCTCTGACCCCCCACCTCCGGCAAACAAGCACCTCACAGATAGAGGCCCTGGTTGGGGTCTCTGTATGTGCACGAGGGTCGGGGGGAAACGTGCTCTGGGAGAGGACTCTGGAGGAGGGGGAGGGCCAGGCTGGGGGACGGATCAGGGATCTGGTCTCAGCCGGAGCCTACATCCTTCCAGGAGGAGAAGCTGACGGCCACCGTCTTGCTCCCAGCGGGGCCCAAACGACCACGCCTCAGCCAGCCGCTGTGCCGCAGGCGTCAGGACCCCACAGACGCCTCGATGGCCACAGGGGTCCCGCTGGTCCCACAGACCCAGGTAGGGGGGCCTGAGGCTTCCCCAAGGGAGACAGCACCCACTGGTGAGCTCACCTGCCCACCCCCTTCGCCAGCCACCAGCACCCGCCGATGTCCAGCACCGGACCCCAGTCAGCAGACAGATCCTCCCTGTGGTCCGGAGCCCAGCTAGACCCTGTGGGCTCCAGAAGGAACGGCACAGCCCCACAGCCCCTTGCCGTCGGGGAGCTCCGCCACTAGCTGGAGACCACACTCGCACACACACACATGCACACACGCACACACACACAAGAAGTGGAGTATAAGACACACATGACACCCGAGTGTGCAAGGGGGTTAACACAGGAGTAGGGTCGTAGCCTGGGGGCCAGGGCGCTGGGGCGAGGAGGGCGGGGCACAGGCCAGAGCCGAGCTGGAGGACGGCCCCGTTCCTAGGAGGGAGGAGGCCAAGAGGGGGCGGGGCCGTCCCTGTGGGCGGGCAGGGCCAGTGAGTGGAATTTGACATCTCAGGGGACGAGTGGGTCCCAGGTTATGCATCAAACTGCGTCACAGACAAGACAGCAAGGCTCCAGGGCAGGGGCCCCCAGGGGCCTCCCCGCCACCCCGACCTGCCCCCCTGCTCCAGCCTGGGGCAGCCCCCGCAAACCATGCCCCACAGAAGTGACATGCAGAGGCTGCTGCACATAACCAGCAGGGGGGCTGGCTGGCATCAAGGCCCTCCCAGCCCTGGTGGGTCACCCCTCTGCAACAGGCAGTTCATTCTGGGTGCACTTCGGGCCCAGGCTGAGCAGCGGGGCCAGCAAGACCTGGGTCCTCACCCACCCCAGCGGGCCTGGTGCCCTTAGTGCTTTGGGAGTGCGGGGAACATGCAGAAGCCTCTCTGTCCCTCCCACCCCAGGCTCTGCTTGCTCCCCCCGCTCCCCGGGGCTCCTGCCGAGGGAGGCTCCACCGGACGCCAGCGCCACGGCCCAGTAGACTCAGCCCAGACTCCCCTCTCCCGGGCTGCACAAGCTCCCACCTCCCCACCTGCGAGGGGAAGCCAGAGCCCAAGGCCCCGCACGGAGCAAGCTGGGGGGGCAGCCCCATGGGGCGGCAGGTGAGCCCGGCCCGAGGCCAGCAGCAGCCCAGGCCTGAGGCTGCGGGAGCCGGGTGCCCGGTTTCTCAGGTCTGGGAGAAGAGAGCGACGGCGGGGGCCGCCTGGGAATTCTTTATTCCTGAACAAGGGAAGGGGGTGGGCAGTGTGGGGAGAGAAGCCACGTGTGCGCCCCCCCAGGCTCCGCAGGCGGGGCGGAGAGGGGCCGTCGGGCCGGGGCCCCCAGCCTGAGTCCAGGAGCTCCTGGACGCGGGGAGATCCTTGAGTCCACGTGAGTACGCGTGAGTCCACGTGAGTACGCGCATCTTCCCGGGAGAAGAGCCACGACCTCGGTCAGATTTTCCAAGGGCTTTACACCCCCCCACCACCCAGTGTCAGGAACCGTGGTTCTCCCGCGCGTGGCTCCCAGCTGGGGACGTCCGGCCGCCAGGGCCAGGGCTGCTTGGCCCACACTGTGCTCTCCAGGCCACTCACTTCCCGTCTCGGGTGCTCCAGGCTGCAGCAGAGAAGCCGCGCTCTGCCCAGGCGCAGTCCCGGCGGCCCCCGCCCCTGCGGCCACGGAGGGTGGGGGCCAGGTCAGGCGCGGGGCCTCGGCCGTCCAGATCTTATACCGGGGCACTCGAACGGCCTCCAGTCCTGGGTCCGCGCAGTCCCCTCTGTCACAGCAGCCCACCTCCTGAGGCGGGTGGTCTTAGTCCTTCCGAGGGGACTGGTCCTCATGCTCGGGAGCAGTGCCCATGAGCGCCGGGGGGCCCACTCTGCACCCGGATGTGCCCTGCTCCCCCTGGGCCCTGAGGTCCTGCCCACTCTGCATCTGTTCACAGAAACAAAGACCAGAGTCAAGGGTGGGGAGGTGACAGGCCAAACCAGCCATCCCCAGCCACCCCCTGGGGCCAGGAGGGTCGTCCCTGGGCCCCTGCCAGCAGGGCCTTGAGTCAGCGCCCACTAGTGGTGCAGAGGCGCCGAGGCAAGGTCTGGTCCCCCTTTCTTGCTGTGCACCCAGGTGGCTTCATGTTCTCTTGCTCAGAGGACCCCGAGACCTCAAGCGCCTGCTCCCCCCTCTCCCCGCAGTCCCCCTCTCTCCGCGGTCCACACGCGGCCTCTGGGTCTCCCTGAGCTGCCCTGAGGCCAAGAGCTCTCTCACCAGGGCATCGGCGCCCTCTCCTGACCACGGGGCCCTCACGGACACATCGGGGTCTCCGTTCCACACCCTTGCTCACCTCGGGACACCATTCAACCATCAAGCTGCTCGGGGAATACTGGTCTCTCTCTCTTGCGCGCGCAGACACACTCACCAGCCCCCCACACCCCTGTGGACACCACCTTGGTCACACCTCCTGCACAGCTCATGGCCTCCTCCCAGAGCCCAGCCCAGGCCTGGCCCAGGGTAGGGGCAGAGGGTCAATCACAGTTTCTGCACCAGTGGCATCACCCCCTCTTATCTGGCCGAGGCAATTACACCCCTCACACATCTCCTGGATCCTCATCTTGATGCACCACTCACAGAGAAGCAAACTGAGTCATGGACAGAAATACTCCAGTGAGTGAGTGAGTCATGAACTGGAATCGTCCTCAAGGACATCAGCGAGACCCAGCTGGAGCCCAGGCCTTGGGGGTGCGGGTGGGCCTGGGGTCGTGGAGAGTGGTCCCGTCCAGGGCACTTTCAACAATGGCATTGTAGGAATGCAGCTCGAGTAAGAACCCACAGGTGCCCAGGATGTCCCCCTGTGCCCACCTCCTCTCCGAGCCTGGGTGGGGCTCAGGCCAGCCTAGGGTCTCACCTGCTCCAGGCCTGATGAGCCCCAGGAGAACCAAGGCGCGGGCCCAAAGCAGCTGTGCGCAGCCGGCCGGAGGGTCCTGGGGTGAAAACGGAAGGAGGCAGCCCAAGCCAGGCAGCGGCCCGCTCCTTAAAGCCCCCAAGCCAGCCCTCGCGGTCTCCAGGGCCGCCATCCCGAGAGGGGGCCGCCGCTCGGCGCCGTCTCCGGGGGCCAGGGGCACGGCTCCGGGGCAGGAGGCCGCGCGCGGCGGCAGGTCCGGCGCCCTCATAGCACGCGGCCTAGATGGGCCGCCGGGGCCTCGGGCCCGTGGCCGTGGCTGCGCTGGTGCGTCTTGAGCGAGCCCTCGCGCGCGAAGCTCTTGCCGCAACGGGCGCAGAAGTAGGGGCGCCGCTCCCCGAAGACGCCGGGGCGGCGCGGGTGGGGCGCGGGCATGCGCGCGTGCGTGCGCTGGTGGTTCAGGAGGAAGCGCGGCTCGCGAAAGCAGCGGCCGCACTGCGCGCACTGGTGCGGCTTCTCCCCGCTGTGGATGCGCTGGTGCGTGAGCAGGTTCTGCTTGAGGCTGAAGCAGCGGCCGCACTCGGGGCAGGGGAAGGGCCGCTCGCCCGTGTGGGTGCGCTGGTGCACCTCCAGGTTGTGCTTCACGCTGAAGGCCTTGCCGCACTCCGGGCACACGAAGGCGGCCGCGCGGCTGGCCCCGGCGTGCGCCTTCTGGTGCCGCACCAGGCTGGGCTGCTGCGAGAAGGTCTGGCCGCACAGCGGGCAGCGGTGGGGCTGCTCCTCGGGGTGGTGGATGACCAGGCCTCGCTCGTCCCCCAGGCCCTCCTCTCCGTCCCCCGCGGGGGACCCGCCCCCGGAGGAGGCCAGCTCAGTCATGGGCACGTCCAGCTGCAGGCACCAGCCCCTGGGAAGGTAGAAGCAGAGAAGGGGGTCAGGTGGGCAGGAGGATGGCCTGGCAGCCCAGCCCCAGGCAGGGATCCTCAGACCCCAGCTCAGGCCCCTCTGCTGTTTTGTGCAAGCCAAGGCCCCCCTCCCAGAATGCCCTGTTCTCTCCTCTGCCCCTCAATCTCCTCGTGCCCCTACCCCCCCAGTCCCCTCCTACTCGCAGGTCCTCCTCCTGGAAGCCTTCCCTGAACCCCCAGCCCAGCCTGAGCCCCCTCCCCCCACCCTAGGCCCTCCTCACCCACCCCACTGCTGTGGGCGCTCTGCTGCCTGTCTCCCCCACCCTGCGAGCGCGTGAGGCCGGAGCTGCTGCTTTATCCCGGCACCAGGTCACGTGCTGCCACCAAGGCGCTGAAGAGCGAATGAGAGCAGGTGGGGGACGTTCAAGGGCCGGTATCCTAACTTACGCTGCACCTGGAAATGTCTTATCTCCCCAGTCAGATGCCCAAGAAGGGGGGCTAGGGACGTGCATCCCCAATCTGGAGGGAAGGGTGGAGTCACCAGTGGTTTATAGATATTTGTTTCTTCTTAAAAGAAGAAAAAACAAAACCCTGTAAACTTGAAGGTAACCTCAGTTAAACATTAAAGACAGCAGCTCTTTGTTTATCAAAATGAGGCTATAAAAGGTTTGCCAGTCACTGAAGCAGAGTGTGCGCTCCCAGGGGCGGGTCTCAGCCGCATTTCCTTGGGGCCCCACAGCAAAGCCCACCCCAGGCTGAGCAACTCCCCCATGCTCAGCAAGCACCCCCCCCCCAAGCTGGTTCCCCCAAGGATCCTCTTCCCCGGGGCACCTGGTTCCTCTGAAATGGTTTCCACTGTTCTTAGGACAGCCCTGAGGAAGGCGCCAGGCTTATTGAGCCCCACTTTACAGATGAGGGAAACTGAGGCTCAGTGAAGTCAACACATTGCCCAAGGTCACACAGCAAGGTGAACAGGGCTAGGCCTTAGGCTTCCTGACTCACTGCTGCAAGCTCTTCTTAATGTACTAGCTGCTCAGCAAATAAACTCTCTACACACACACATACACACACACACACACCACACACCACACCCACCACCCCAAACACTCAGAGCCACCAGTTCCCAAAGGGTCACTGTCCACTGCCTGCTGCCACACTCCAGGCCTCTGGTGCCCTGCAGAGTCCTGAGCCTGCCCCAGAGCAGTGGAGTTGCCCATCCCCTGCAGCCCCCACCCCCACGGGGTAACAGCTGGCTGCTCCCCCAGAACCTCCACGCAGGCCACACCACACTTGGGGACCTCACTGCAACTGCAGCCTCAGTGGCGCTATCTGCAGAGTGGGGCCCCAAAGACACCCCCTTTGTCTCCTCTCAGGGTGGCAACACACCCACCCTGGAGAAGGGGGCGAGTCCTGGCAGTAGACCCCACCTGCGAGTCTGCCCCTGACAGCTGCATTCACATCTGCAAGGACAGCACCCCAAAGTCCCCAGGCCCATCCCAGCCTGGCCTTGTCCCTGGGTAACCTCCCGCCTCTCCCCAGCTCTACCCTGACCGAGGCCCGCCCTGGACAGAGCCCGAGGCTACCACGGTCTCCCCCAAGTTCCTCCGAGCTGCCCCGCACTCACAGCCCAGGCTGCACCCCGTTCCGCCGGTCTCCAACTGTGGCTCTTTCCTCTACAGCCTACGCTGCCCAACGCAAATACGGTAACTCCTGCAGCAGCGACTCCGCGCCCCTCTTCCCCGCCCCCCTGAAGACGGCCTCGGGCGCTGCTGTTCTACCAGACAGCTGCATTCGTCAAAAAAGCCGACCCCACCCACCCGACCCCGGCGCACAGGGTGCGGGCTCCCGGGCCCGGGGCCCTGGAGAAATACGGTAAACCCCGCGGCGCCTCCCCACCCCGCCCCCACAAAAACACGCAGGCCTCCGCCGGGTGCCGCGGCCCACCCCACCCCGCCGCCGGCCCGGCTCCCCTAGGAGGTGACGCCACCCCCACCCCACCCCACCCCGCTCCCCTGGCGCCCCGGGATCCAAGCACCCGGATAAATACGTAATGAAGTCGCGGCGCTTCCCACCCGGAGAAAGGGGCTGCGCGGCTCCCGGCAAATACGGTAGCGCCCGCGGTGACCCGCGGGGCCCGGAGCGGCCGGGTAAATACGGTAGCCCCGGCGCGGCCCGGCCGGCCCGGCCCGACTCACGTGGCGCCGCCCGCAGCCGCCGCAGCGCCGCCCGCAGCCGCGCACAGCAGCCCCGTGAGGCCGGGAGGTCTAACTCGCCGGGCCGGCGGGCGGGGAGGCCCCGGGGGGCTGCTGGGGAGGCAGGGCGTCCTGCCCGGCGGTCACCCCCATCCCCCGGCCCGGCCCGCCCAGCCCTGCCCTTCTCGGGACGCCCCGAGACCCGGTGTGCAGTTACCGCGGATCCTCCTCTGAGCCAGGCCCCCCAAACTGTCCCCCCCCCACCCGCCCTGAGCCTGGCAGGCAGGACCTGGGGGGCACAGGAGGCCCAAAGCCTTTCCTTACAAGAGAGAAGGGGGTGCTCGCAGGGCCCCCCGCTGGGGAGCCTTTCTCAGGGGGGGTTTCATGGGTGGGAGACCATCATGGAAGGGGCAGAACCCCAGCACTGGCTGGGAGCCCACCCGCCAGCAATGTGAGAAGGGGGTGGGGAATGACACCCCTGAAATCTCCTCCTCCTGCGAATTGAGCCCATTATGGCCATGGCAAAGGTGTCTCATGAAAGAGCCCTCGGAACACCCCAGGGGAGCGGCGGCTGGCCAGGCCTGGATTCCAGCCTCGGCTGTCCCCTGATAACACCCCTGCTTGTTACGAAGCTCTTTCCCACCTACTATCTCGCGGGCGCGCCGAGAGCTGCGCCGTCTGGCTATGCAGGCATCGCTGCCCCACTTTATAGATGGGAAAATAAAATAAAATGGAAACTGTGGCTCCCCGACACCCCCCAAGTAGCTAGCCCATTTGGAAAGGCAGCCCCCCCAGCTCACTGGCCCCCATGCCACTTAGTACCTAGTGCCCCAAGAGGTTGGGCGTGATGGCTGTGCATAGTCCTAATCGTCCTGGCCTTGAGCCCGAGCCTCAGAATTCACACGTTACAGAAACTGAGGCCGGAGCAGGGTGATGGCTGAAGTGACGGCGCTGCAGGGACAGCAGCCAGCCTCACCCTGGTCCCGCGTAGCACCCGCCTGGGGACGTGGGGGTCCCCAGGCTCCTTCCAGCAGATGGGATGTGGCTGTCGGGGTGGCACCATGCTACCCCTGATGGGGGCTCTGGGAGACACATGCCCCCAGCCTCTGACCCACGACCCCCTTAGGAGCGCTGCCTACCTCTAGGAGCCTGGGAGCTGGAAAATCCCAGATGGGTTCACCTGGCAGTCAGGCCACCCCTTACTCCGACGCCAGACCTGAAGGCAGGCGGGGCTGTTGCTTTGCAGCTGGCTCTGGGGTCCCTCCCTGCAGGTGTACCCAGGTCACTCTCTCAGCCTCTCTCAGACCCTCCAAGCCCTGCCACTCCTGGGGCACCTCACTGTGGGGCTTCCTAGATTAGACACCCCAAGGAGGCTGGTATTTCAAATATGGGGGGGGGATCCTGGAAGGAAGAAAGAAATGTGTCCACCAGGACAGATGTGACCCAGGGTCAGGTGCAAAGCTTCCCGCGGCATTGATAGCAGCCCCCCAATCACTGGAAAAGCCACACACCCCCTCCTTCCATCGCCTGAGTGCTGTACAAGGAAAGGCCACGCCTCCCCGCCAATCCAGGCAGAGGCTGTCACCTGCCATGAGGGCTGCTGTCCTCTTGTGCAGGTTGCAGGAGAAGTGGAGATAGTTGGTCAATGACCAGGCTTTTCAAAGGCAGAATTGATAACATACCGGAGGGTGCCACCCGTGTTTTCAGCAGCACGTTCTAGACGAGCTGTGCCAACATAGAGAGGGACACGCTGGGGCGGGTGGGAGCAGATACGGCCCCTAGCTGGCCTCTGTTCCAGCAGAGGGCCCAGGACAGGCACGGTCCACTCTCTGCCCCCACCCGACTGCTGCTTCCCTCACACCTTCCCCCATCTTCAAACGCAGCGGCGCCTCTGCACACGGGCAGGCCAGTGGCCAGCTGGCGGTCACTCTCACAGCCCCGGTGCCCCAGGAAACAGCTGGCTGGCCCACGGCACAGTGTGTGCAGGGCATGTACACCCGCGAGCCCTACTCAGGACCCTGCCCTGTCCCCTGTCCCCATGCACACCAGATGCGCATGCACCTGCTCCCCCGGGGCACCCCCAGAGCTGCTCTGGCAGACACCAGCCTGGCCATGCTCTTTGAGGGGCTGCACCCCTGGGCTCTGCCTCTCCTAAGGAGCTCCTTCCATCCCTCCTTGGACAGTGACACTGACATCCCTCCCCAAGCACTGGTGCTGACGTCACTCTGGGGTTTGGCAAGCCTTGGTTTTCACACCAGGGCTTGTGCGTCAGAGGGCAGGGCCTGCGCTCAGCAGCCCTGTAGCCCCAGCATCAGCCGTCAGTGCTGGGGAATGGGTGGACGCAGTCTGCAGGCTCCAGGCTCCAGCTGCCAGTGCCAGGCCGGCCAGTGGGCTGAGGCCATATAGGCCTGGGCTCTGCGGGCAAAGCTCTGCAGGCTGGACCCTACCCCTCTACCTGCCCCCGTACCCACCCCCCCAGCAGAGGCCCACCAGGAGAGGAGGCCCTGGTTGCGAGGCTCCTCGCTGACGTCCTTTCCTTGAAATTTGAACCAAGATGTGACCTGTGGCATCAATCCAGCCAAGCCCTGAAGCTCCCCCCAGGCCCACGCACCCCTGGGGGTGGCTCCCCTGCATTTCACCCATACAGACCCTCCACTAGCAGGGGGATTCCAACTCACTGTGGGCTCAGATAATTTGTGTTTTTCAGCAATAAAGTATTTTTAATTAAGGTGTGTACGTGTTTGGGTGGTTTTTAGAAATGACGCCACTGCACCCTCCGTAGACCGCAGCGCCCCGAGAGCCCAGAGTCCCGTGACTCGCTCTCTCGGGTGGTTGCTTTCTCGCGCTGGTCTGACAAGCCGCAGTATCTCCGAGGTAGGCCTGTCACTCCTTATGGGGCCTGAGTCCTGGGGGGTCCCTCTTCTCCGCCCACACGGGAGGGCCCCAACACCCCGCGTGCCGAAGGTCGAAGGTGTTGCTTTACCAAGCGACTGCGAAGGAAGGAAAAGGTCTCCGGGCATCCCGCACCCGCCAGGAGCCGCTGCCCGCTGCTGCCCGCTGCTCTCCCCGGGGCCTGCCAGCAGCTGCGCTCCTCGGGCGGCGCCCACGGGCGGGCGGTGGGCTCCGAGTCTCCCAGGAGGCCCGGCCGCCTTGCTGCCGACCTGTGGCTCGAGTCGCTCACCTAAGACACCCACTTCCCCAGCACCCAGGCCGCTCCTCTCCCCTCCGTCTGCCCCAGCCGCAGGCGCTTCCGGGAGGCAGAGCTCCACGCCCGCCATGGGCAGGGCCCGGGCCCACCGAGGCCTCGATTGACTTAGTCCTGGTCACTTTCTGCTCCCTCTGCAGCCCGTCACCTCAGCGTGCCCCGCGGCCTGTGGGGCCAGGCCACCAGGCTGATCTGACGCCCGTCCCTCACTGGACGCGCTGTCCCGAAACCTCCCTGGCCCTGTACTGTTCTTAGATGAAGGGGGCTGGAGAGGGACACGGACGGTGTCGGCCCACCCTTGGAGAGGCCCGTGGCTGTGGAGGCAGCTCAGGATAACGGGGAGTGGGGGGGCTGCAAGCAGGATCTGCAACGTGCCTGGCGGACAAGTCCCAGCGCCTCACCCCTTTCCTCGGTGCCGGCCGCTTTCCCGGGCTCCTGGGGAGAGCGGACGCCACGCTAGCACGAAAGCCCGCTTCAGGAGCAGAGTCTACACCACTCGGTGCTGTGCGTTGAAATGATTTCCCGTGCGGTCCAGGAGCTCCCCAAGGCGGGAGGCCATGAGTGCTACTGAGTGAATGCACATGTCCCCCCAAATGCATACACTGAAGCCCTGGCCCCCAGTGTGAGGGCATTTGGGGTGCGCCTTTGGGAGATGATGAAGTTTGATGAGATCAGCCAGGCAGCGCCCCCATGCCACTGTCGCTCCCCGCCCCCCGCCCCGCACGTGGACACAGGCAGGTGGCCCTCGGTCTCCAGGCCGGGCCCTCTCCGGGAGCCCAACCTGCCCACACTTCGCGCTTGCTGGTGGCCTTCCAGCCTCCAGGCCATGAGAATAAGGTCCGCTGCTCAGGTCTTGGCTGGGGCGCCCGCTAGGGCAGCGGTGAGACCTTGGCTTATTGCCTGTGGCAGCACCCCCGGGGCCCCGCAGAGCTGGCCAGAGTGGGCTCGCTCAGGGCCACCCTGCCACCCAACCCCAGCCTGACCCAGGGGGCCCACACCGCAGTAATTCTCCACTCATGTGCTCGCCCGTGCCCCCCCCACCCCCGCCGTGACCCAGTGTGAGACGGTCCCACGGGGCCAGTGAGCAGGATCCTCATGAATTTGAACATGATGAAAAGCTGCAAGTAGCTCTCATTAACCCCAAGTTCTACCGACACAGCTGCTTGGTTGATGCAGCAAACATGAGCCATGGAAGACACCCAGGCCCTGCGGGCTGGTCAGCACCGCCCACACTGCCTGCGCTGCCCACAGGCATCCAACTCCACGTGGGCCCGGAGTTTCTGCAGATCCCTCCTCGCAGACAGTGGCTCTCTAACGCAGGAATGGCACTTCAGGGTGCCTTCCTGGAGGAGGGGGGCTGATGCAAGCAGCTTCAGGGATTGCTAGGTAGAGAAGTGGAGTAAACAAATGGCTCCCGAGCGTTCCCTCTGGGTGAAGGCAGGTTGGTGAGAGCTGGGTGCCTGGCCTCCCTGAGCAGGGCCGGCTGGGGAGGGGCTGTGGGACAGGGGCGGGACACTGCAGGAAAACAGGGAGCTTCTAGGGCTGGGGGTCAGCAAGGGGGCCCAGAAAAACCCTTCTGATTTGGCTTCCTGCTGGTCGGGAGAGCTAACCAGCAGCTGGGCACACCTCGCCAGCGTGAGATTTCACACACACGGCCTGTGAGCTAAGCGCTGGACTGGGAGCGGACGGCACCGCTAAGCATCCCGGCCCTGAGTGCCCGAGTAAGCCGTGGCCGCCACGCCTCCAGGAGTCCTGCCAACACAGACCGAGCAGGAGCCAGGAAGACCCTAGAGAAGGGAGCACTTCTCTGCATTCAGAGAACAATCCAGGGACACCTGGGGGGAGGGGAGGCAGGTGGTGTGACATAATCACACTAGGGCCGCCCCTTTACCTCCCGCCTCCCACTACCTTGACACCCCAACATCCACCTCTCTGCAATTCCCTCCCCTCCTGCAGGAAGACACCATCCACCAGGGCCCCAGGTGACCCTGCTTTGAAGGGCATGAGGGGTGCCCTCTGGGGCTGAGGTGAGGGAATGGGCGGGAAGAGATCAGACCGTCCTGGAGCGCAAGGGCAGGTCCTGCACCCAGCAAGAACTGGGCACGGGGCTGCGATGCTCATATGCACAGGGCTCCCCCCACCTCCTGGGCAGGTGGAACCTCAGCGCGCAGAATTCGAGAAGCAGAGCCCACAAAAGACCAGGAGACCAAGGAGAGTCAAGCCTTCATTTTCTCCGCTGCCATGACCCACCAAGGAGCCACGGCAGCCACACTCCGCACGGGCATGGCGCCGCCCCAATGGTCTCTCCTCCTGCTCCAGGGGCCACCCCAAGCTCCCACTCCTCAACTGGGACCACCCCAGGAGGCCCAGCCCCTGCCCTTCACACACAGCGGTCCTGGGGCGCCAGGACAGCACTCTGGGTAGCAGAGCACCACGGAATCATTCATTCCTTCCCAAGGTATGCCTGGCAGGGGCACTGGGTAGTGCCCGCCGGACCCTCCCGGGCCCTGCTGCCTGTGCCAGCCTCGGTTTCAGTCTGTCCAGGCTCTCCCTCGGGGCAGGCCGAGAGACGGGTCACACCCGCAGCCTCCGGGAGCCCCGACGTCCTCTCCCGGGCCTGAAGCCTGGGGTCCCACTTCTCAAGGCGGGGAGCAGACCCGGACCCATCCAGGCTCCAGACTGAAGGTCATCTGACCGCACCTCCTCTCTCAGCCCTCCACGGCCCTTTGGGAAACTTCTGGAAATCTGTTCTTGGGCCTTCAGAGCCTTGCAGAAGCCACCTTGGGACGGGCCCTCGCCCGCGGGCTCCACGCGCCAGCCGGCCTGGCTCCCGGGCCGCGCCCCGTCCGGGCGCTAGAGCGCGGGCTCCGGGGCGGGCGCCAGGGGCCCGCGGTGCACGCGCTGGTGCTTGAGCAGGTGCTGCTTCTGAATGAAGCCGCGGCCGCAGGCGGCACACAGGTAGGGCCGCTCGCCCGTGTGGTTGCGCCGGTGCCGCGTGAGGTTGGGCTTCTGGCTGAAGCGGCGGCCGCAGTCGGGGCACGGGTAGGGGCGCTCGCCCGTGTGGATGCGCTGGTGGATGGTGAGCGCCGACCACCAGGAGAAGCTCTTGCCGCACTCGTTGCAGATGAACTGGCGCGGCTCGCCGGGGGCGCCCAGGCCCGCCCGCGCCCGGCCCCACAGTCCGGCCCGGGGGCTGCGGGCCCGCGGGGGGCTGCGCGGCGGGGCCTGGCCGGGGGGCGCGGCGGCGGGCGGCTCGGGGGGCGCGGCGTGGGCGCGCTGGTGGGCGCGCAGGGCGGCGCGGCTGGGGCAGCTCTGGCCGCAGCTGGGGCAGGGCGCCGCCTGCGCGCCGGGCAGGTGCGTGCGCTGGTGCTTGAGCAGGTGCTGCTTCTGGCGGAAGCTGCGGCCGCAGTGCGCGCAGGGGTGCGGCCGCTCGCCCGTGTGGTTGCGCAGGTGCCGCGTGAGGTTGGGCTTCTGGCTGAAGCGGCGGCCGCACTCGGGGCACGCGTAGGGGCGCTCGCCCGTGTGGATGCGCTGGTGGATGTTGAGCGACGACCACCACGTGAAGCTCTTCCCGCACTCGTTGCAGATGAACTGGCGCGGCCCGCCGGGCCCCGCGGCGGCGGGCGCGGCGGTCCGAGCCCCGGGCGGGCGCCACCACGCCTGGCCCGGCCCCAGCCAGGCCCACTCGGGGCGCCCCCGCGGCGCCCCCGCACGCAGGCGGCAGCCCCGGCGGGCGGCCGCGTCGCGGAGCAGCTCGGGCGGGCCGGCGCGGGCGCCCTGGCGGTCCCGGGCGTGCGCGCGCTGGTGGACGCGGAGGCCCAGCTGGTGGCGGAAGCAGCGCGCGCACTCGGGGCACGCGTGGGCGGCGGGGCGCGCGTGGGTCTTCTGGTGCTTGAGCAGGTGCTGCTTCTGGCTGAAGCGCCGCGCGCACTGCGGGCAGCAGAAGGGCCGCTCGCCCGTGTGGCGGCGCTGGTGGCGCGCCAGGTTGGGCTTCTGGCTGAAGCGCTTGCCGCACCGGCCGCACGGGTAGGGCTTCTCCCCGGTGTGCGTGCGCCGGTGGATCTTCAGCGACGACCACCAGCTGAAGCGCTTCCCGCAGTCCGGGCACGCGAAGTGGCCCTCGCCCGGCGCCAGCGCGGCGCTCAGGGGGCCGGGGGCGGCCCCGGGGGCCCGGCCCGCCCGCGCCCCGTCCGGCTCGGCGGGTGGGGTCCGCCGGGGCGCCCCGCTCTCCTCCTGTCCCCCCAGGGGCCGCGGCCTGCCCACAGTCTGGCATGACAGGAGGCCCCGGGGCCGCTGGAAGATGTTTTCCTTATCTCTCTTGGAAGGCGCGGCCTGCGGCCCCAGCGCGGGCGGCAGCCACTCGGGCTTCTCCTGCTTGGGCTTCTCCTGCTTGATCTTCATGGCCGGGCGGCGCCTGCTGGAGGCAAAGGGGAGAGGACGGGAGGGTCACTCGCTGCCCGGCGAGGGGGGGCTGACAGCCAGGAGGGCAGGGCACGCGGAGAGGGGGGGCGCGGAGTGCAGACGGGAGGGCAGCGGGGGAGAAAGGAGAGGCGGCCCTGCCCGGCCCCGGCTGGCACCCACCGACCCTCCGCCCAGGGGATGCGGGGAGGATAAAGGACCCAGCGAAATCTTCCCACCCAGGGAGCAAACACAAGATGCCCAGCTTCAAAACACCCCGTCCTTTCCTGAGGGCGCCGGCGCGGGGCCCTTCCTGCGCTGATGCCCCCCAGTCCCGCAGCGCTGGGCCCAGGGCCCCTCCACGCCCGGCCACACGGCCAGCACCTCGCCCCTGACCTCACTGGATTCCCACAAAGCCGTGGCTGACGCCCTGACCGCCCCACTCGTGGGCAGGCCTGCGGGCTGCCTCTCATCGTGGCAGACGCGCCCACCCGGGGCAGCGGCCAGGGACACTGCGCGCACAGTCCCCTCCACTCCGCTCGTGGGAGGCCCGAGGCCGGCAGGGCTGGCCGGCGGTGGGGGCAGCACAGTGGCCTGAGAGAGGACTGTGACCGCAGGGGCGGAGGGGCTTGCGGGTCCAGCAACACCCCCTTTCCTGCTCTGGGCGCTGGTCGCCCAGGCGCCGTCACTGTGCGAGGACGTGCGGCGCTTGCCCGCTATTCTTCGTCTACAGGTGTATTGGTTCTACCTCAACGCAGTTTCCAGTCAATAAAAAGCCAGCGAGATGCAATGCCGCGGGCCAGCACAGCAGGAGACGATGAGGCCGCCTCAGGGTTGAGAGAAGCGCGCAGGGTGGTCAGGGCGTCCGCGAAAGAAATGACAAACAGACACACTTCAAGAGTGAAAATCTGAGTGTCATTTTCTTTGAGTCTGTGACCAATATATATGTTTTCCAAAAGCACAGGGACAATGAATATCAATGAAATCAGCTTGCTCATGGGCTCAGTCTATCACCATCAGGGAGGTGATCTACATAACAAGCAATGACTTTTATAGAAGAAAGAAGGAAGTTTAGAAAGACAAATAAGGGATTAAAGTGTGTAGTTCTAGAAAGACAGGATAAGATTTTTAGCATTCTTGTAGTGGTTCCTGGTGGTGGTTATCTTTTGATAAGCTTCTGCCTTTTCAGGGAACTTCCGCTGCACTTCCTCTGCTTCAGGGTGTTATGCTGTTCTCCCCCTGCGCGCTGGTTGCCCAGCTGGACCTAGGGACCGTGGCGAAAGCCATTCCTAAAGGTCACTGCAGGGGGAGGTGCAGCAGGTATGTTATGTTATTAACAGCCATGCAAAATGGAATTCCAGTCATAACAAACTAAACCTACAACTAAACTTTCAGGTTTACTTTTTGCACCTATTTGTGAAAGCTAAAAATTCTAATGTCATATTACCTTGTGTGTTCACACTTAAGTCATCTGGTACAAACAAATAACAGTATTATAATGCCTTACTGCTAATGAAAGATGTGACAATCTTAAATCGATGAAATGTAAAATGTATGTTTACAAAGAAAAACATGTATTAAAAATAGATATTTTAATGGTCCTGAAAGTAAAGTGATAAGTGTTAAAGCAAATGTTGAAGGTCTAAAAGAATTAAAAAGTAACAAGGCTAAGGAAAGTGTTAAAAATCTCAAAAAGAAATTTTACAAAAACAAATTTTGTATACTCAAATGATTTATATTTTAGTATTTTGGGAACACATTAGCTAAAATAATTTTTGGTTAATAATAACTGAGTTTTAATCTAATGGGTTGTTTCAAAACATGTACTTATACACTAACATTGGGTATAATCTTGGCCCTTGTCTAGGTTAATGATGTTGGGCACATAATGTCTTTTAGTGTCTGAAAAACTAAGATTTTTGAGATGACAATTAAAGGTTATGATTTGATTGTCAATATTATACTCAGGGCTAGAATTTTTATAAAAATTAAATATGGTTGTTTTTGCTGTTTTCTAAGTATTTATGACACAGCTTCCCAAAAATCTAAATTAAAGTAAAATTTGGTAGCCTGTCATTTAATCAATTAAAGGAAATTTTGTGGAACCTCAGCAGAGCTTTAGAGATACTCCACAAACTTTCTCCTTTTCCTCCTGGGAAGGACATTACATAAATTTATCCCATCTGGTTTACCTGGTAAAGTTACACTACAAGGGAATCACTGTCACTTGAAAAAATGGTAAAACTCTAATATGTACAAAAATGGTTAACATTGGTTTTCTAAAACAAAATCTTTCCATACCTGATATGTATGTAAATTGTCAATGATTACTGTTGCCTTGCAATATTATATACTTCAATGATTTAATGTCTGCAGGACTTGTTTCTACACAATATAAAAAAAAAAAGGCCTCAATTGATTCAAAATGATAAACTTTTGAGAGTAAAAATCTTTCTACAAAGGACTGTATAGACTGTTGGATATACACCTAATTTTTACTGTTTTGTTTGGCGTAACATTGAAAATGTTTTTACATTTTACCTTGATTCAACAAAGTTTTCTTGTTTTGACTAACCAGACTCTACAGCAATGTTATATACATATATATTTTTTTCTTTTTCTAGCAGAGCTAACCTTTTGTGTGGCTTTGAGTACAATTCTTCCAGGGAGTTGACATAGAGCTAAACTAAAATGTGGAGAAACTGCTGCTTTGTTCGTAGGGTTCCAGACACCTCAGAAAATGATGAGAAAGCTTGCCTCCATTGGCAGGACTGAATAACCTGGTCCCCTGAACAGAAAGCTCTGTCATAAAGCCTGAACTCTTTCGTCTTTTTGCTGCCTTTGATGTACACTTCAAACAACCTGGACAGGACACCACTAAGATCCCAGTGCGTGCCTACCTTGGATACCCCTTCGCTATACTTCTGGGGAACGCCTCAGCTACACGCATTCAATCGCGTGGGACTTCTTACTCCATTCATTGTTCCGGCTGCATTGTTACTAATTGTATTACCCCCTCTCTTGCTCATCTATATCCTGTGGTGGTCTTGCTCAAAAGACCCTCCTATGTTATGTTATCTGTTGATTTACATGATATGCCTTGGTATGATAATACTGCCATGCAAGTTTTACATGAAGTACATGCTCTTCTTCGTCCCAAACGTTTTATTGCCACCCTTATTCTAGGCATTGCCGCTCTGATTTCCTTAGTTACCTCTTTAGCTGCTTCCTCCGTTGCTTTAATTCAGGAAGCTAAGACAGCTTCTTTTGTAAATGACCTACCAAAAACGTGTCCATGGCGCTCGCAATACAGCGGGACATTGATTATAAGTTAGAAAGAAAGTTAAATGCTCTGGAAGAAATTGTTATTGCTATTGGCAATGAGGTTCAACTTCTCAAACAACAACTGTCTACTCGTTGCCATGCCAATGGAGGCAAGCCTGCCAATGGAGGCAAGCTTTCTCATCATTTTCTGAGGTGTCTGGAACCCTACGGAACACAATTCGTTTCATTTGTGTTACGCCTTTACATTATAACTCCTCCTTACATTGGAATCTCACCAAACATCACCTATTGGGCATCTGGCAAGACAATGACCTTTCTCATGACCTCTCGTCTCTCCAAGCTGAAATTTCTGCTGTCAGCAAGTCTCATCTGCACACTTCAGTCTCTTCCTTTGCTCATTCTCTAGCTTCCACTCTCCAGTCTTTGACTCCTACGCACTGGTATCACCTCCTTCTCTCCTTTATTGTTCTTTCCCTACTCGTCCTGCTCCTTTGTTTACTCCTTCCCCTCTGTGTCCGCTTACTTCACAGGTCCATTCATCGTCTTCAACGAGATATGTACGCCTTCCAGCTCCCTTCTAAAAACAAAGGGGGACCTGCTGCACCTCCCCCCGCAGTGATCTTTAGGAATGGCTTTCGCCAAGGTCCCTAGGTCCGGCTGGGCAACCAGCGAGCAGGGAGAGAACAGCATAACACTCTGAAGCAGAGGAAGTGCAGCGGAAGTTCCCTGAAAAGGCAGAAGCTTATCAAAAGATAACGACCACCAGGAACCACTACAAGAATGCTAAAAATCTTATCCTGTCTTTCTAGAACTACAAACTTTAATCCCTTATTTGTCTTTCTAAACTTCCTTCTTTCTTCTATAATGGTCATTGTTTGTTATGTAGATCACCTCCCTGATGGTGATAGACTGAGCCCATGAGCAAGCTGATTTCATTGATATTCATTGTCCCTGTGCTTTTGGAAAACATATATACTGGTCACAAACTCAAAGAAAATGACACTCAGATTTTCACTCTTGAAGTGTGTCTGTTTGTCATTTCTTTCACCGACGCCCTGACCACCCTGCACGCTTCTCTCAACCCTGAGGTGGCCTCATCGTCTACTGCTGTGCTGGCCCACGGCAATGCAATAGCTGTGACAGAAAAACTCTAAACAAGAGCCCAAAATCTGAAAAGACACAAAATAAGCCCAAAGGAATAGAAGAACGAAAGATAAAAGCAGTTTACAGGATCAAGGGAAGACACAGCTATAAAAAGAATCTGAAAATCTTAAAATTCTATGTACAGATGTTTTATCAATAAATTTGAAAAATCTATAAAATGGACACCTTCCAGAGAGAGCTGCGAGAGTAGGTCAAAATGTGTCCGTGTGAACGACTAGAAGACTTTCCAGAAAGCCAGTTCCACCTGGGAAGTGAGCAACAGCCTCTTACCTGCATAAACAGGTTCTACTAACACCTGGGAGGAGGGGAGGAGGCGGGCTCAGTGCCAGCTCACCTGCCGCGACAGTGACTGGCGGCGAGGGCGGGAGGGGGTGTCACACGAGCACAATCCAGGGGCAAAGGACAAGCCCTCTTTGGGCACAGACACACAAGCCAGCAACACCGAGCCAGGTGAGCTCACCCCGCGCAAGGACAGCCAGGCCTGCTGAGGCCTCCCCAGGGCTGCCGCCGACCACACGTCATTCGTGACATTAACTTCTTTCACACCTGCACCATCTCGTTAAATGCAAAAATGTTATCTAACAAAACCCCAGCTTTTCTGAAAGAGGGAGGGAGGACCCTCTGAACAGACTGGGAAGATAAGATATTCTCAGGTTGACAAGGGAGCAATATTAAACATTGCAGCAAATGTTATAACCAAAGGTAAAATATTAGCAGCCCATTAGAGCTGGGCAAAAGGAGTCTCGCTCACTGCCATTCTTCAACACTGTGCTGGAGGAACTAGCCGACCCATGGGGAAGACAGACATAGATGATAGAAAGACAGGCAGACAGAGATACCTCTCTATATCTCAAAGTCAAAACACAAAACTCAAATCCGTAGCGAAGCCCGCTGACCTGAGACAAGTAGTCTGGGGTCTCAGTGACGACCTTTCGCTCAGTCCCGGGTCTGCCACTTGGTTCCTGGTAGGAATCTCGTCAGATGTTAACCCTGAAGCAGGATGGGCCTGGGGGGGTCCCATGACGCCTGACCCTTTACTCCTTGGTCTGCAACCACACATCTCACATCTTGGTATGTAGCCACGTCCTATCTGACCATGTCCAGCTGCCAATGCAAACCCACCCAGGACTCTGTAGAAACTAAAAGTGTATAAGCCCCTGACTTGCCACAGACAGGCTCAGCGTTGGGACGGGATCCGCTGAGTCAGCACCGGTGCAATAAACCTGCTTCTTGTTAGCCCTGGTGTCCCAGTTTCCTTTGAGCTACACAACAATAGATCTAATTGACTTTACTGAATGATTCATGCATAGGGCGGCATCCTGTCTAGATGGTGAAGGGCTCACACAGAGTGGAGAGGTGTGTAGACAGAAAGTGGAACAAGGTTATTAGCAAAAGACAATCTCAGAGGAAAGCAGGGCCTTACCACGCAGGTGGCTTCCTGGTGTTGATCAGGAAGCGCCTCAATGGTTTAAGAGGACACTTGGGGAGAGGGTGAAGCATTAAGTCTGGGTTCCAGCACGAGTGATTCCATTTGGGGCCTCTTTTTTCTATTTTTAACTATACACACCTGTACACACACACATTCATGGAAAGATGAGAAAACTGTCATCCGCTGATGATTATTAAACTAGAATTTGGGCATCCCTGGTGGTGCTAGGGGTTAAGACGCAAGCTATGAAGCTGTCTGCAGCCACTGCAGCACAAGTTCGATCCCTGGCCAAGGAGCTACCCACACGGCACAACCGAACTCTTCTGACTTGCCCTCTGCTCCCCTCAGCAGTGGATTTCGGTCAGTCCACCTGTTCTGTTCCCCACTCTGTCTCTGGTGAATCCTCTCACCCCCACACTGCTGGCCTGTACCCTATTCTTGTATGTACAAATAAATCAATCTTTTTAAAAACTTAAAAAAATAAACTAGAATGTGCCAGAGAATCCACTGACAAATTGCCAGATACAAAGACATTCAAAAAGTGATCAATTTATGGGGGGGGGGAACCTCCCTGGTGGTGCAGGGGTTAAGTCTCAGCGCTATCAATCTATCGCCAGCCACTGCGGCCTGAATTCTACCCCTGGCCAGGGAGCTGACCCACAGGTGCAGCAGACCTCTCCTGTCTCCCCGCTGCTCCCCTCAGCAGTGTGTTTCAGTAGATCCACCTGTTCTGCTCCCCACTCTGTCTCTGGTGAATCCTCTCACTCCCGCACCTCTGGCCTGCACTCCACTCTTGTATGCATAAAAAATAAAATAAATCTTGAAAAAAAAAAAAGGGGGGGCCTCGCCGGTGGCGCAGCGGTTGAGCGCTGGGTTGCGAAGCTCCCCGCGACCTCCACGGCGCTGGTTCAATCCGCCGCTGCTCCCCGGCCACCGGAGGAGGGTCCCACATGGCGCGCAGACCTCTCCTGCCTCGCCTGCTGCTCCCCTCAGCAGTGTCCTTCGGTCCTTCTGCCTGCTCTGCTCCCTGCTCTGGCTCTGGTGAATTCTCTCACCCTCCCGCGCTTCTGACTGCACCCAGTGCTTGTATAAACAAACAAACAAACAAACAAATAAATAAATAAAATACGTGCCTCTTTAAAAAAAAAAAAAAAAGAGGCCAGCTCCAGAGGATGCCAGGGGTCTGACCACCCAGAAAGAGCCGTTCCCAGCCTGGCCAGCAGGAGGCGGCAGTGGAGCCAGAGCTGGATCCAGCCCAAGGACGGCTGGACCCTGGGATCCAGAAGCTGCCCCAGGGAGGGGACTCCACCTCCACACGTGAGCAAGGACCCCACTCCTGAGTTCATCCTGGACACAGGGTCCGTCTGCGCCAATGTCTGGACCAGCTGCCTGACGTTTTAATTAGCGTCAGTCAGCATCACCTGCGTCCCGGTGTGTCACCCCTCGGCAGGGGGAGGCAGGGGCCCACCCCAGACCGTGGATTCCATCCAGCATGATGCCCCGGGGAGCTCCGCTCTGGGGTCCATGGGCAGAGGGGAGGCAAAAACCCTGCATCACTCGTCCAGGAGGTGGGGGGCGAGGGGGCGAGCGCCCCTGCCTGCACCAGCCCTCTACCTGCGCTGGCGGGCCCCTCCCGGCACCACCCAGCCTCCCTGTCCTGCCATCTTTTGGGGAGACGGGAGCAAAGGAGGGAGCTGGCCTTTGGGACAAGGTTGAGATGGGCGCCCCCGTCCTCCTGCCCCGACAGCGCGTTTGCTGTTTCAGAGCTTTTCCACGCCTGCCGGGTCCCGGGGGGGCTGCTGGGCGACCCCGTGTCTCCTAACTCCCCGAGCCCACTCTCTCGGCACCTATGGGGGGTGTGGAGGGCATCGCCCCAAGGACCAGGAACCCCAACTTAATTGGACACGCTCGGGGACGCCTGGACTCGGCGCCGGCCTTGCCTCGGCCTGGGGTGCTCTCTGCGCGCACCCCCTCAGGTCCCCACGCAAACGCCTCCTCAGCTCACCCCCGGCCGCTCTCGCGTCAGGCCCCACCTGCGCTTCTCCGTGACACCCGCCCCTGGCGTGGCCGGCGCTGGTCTGGTTATGCCGCCATCACGGCCCAGAACTCCCCGTGCCCGCTGCCAAAGCCGGGCCAGGAGAGCCGGGCACAGAGGGCGCCGCTCAACTGGGGCTCCCCGTGGCTGCTGCGGGGTCCTCGGCTCCACCAGGGCCCCGCTGCCTCCCCAGAGCACCGGGGTCTTGTTTCCCACGCCCGGACCCGCCCCCGGCCCCGAGAGGGGTGCCGTCTGCTCACCCCACCTTCCTGTCTCCCCGCCTTGGCCCTGGAGGGCCTCCCACAGACCCTGCCCGAAGGGCCTCCCCTCACCCCCTCCAGGTCCCCCTCCCGCTGACCAGTTTGGGGCGAGGTGGGAGTCTCCATAGAGAAGAATCAATCGTCCCCCAATGCCAGAGGGGCCAGAGGCGCCCCCTGCCCTTGGGGCATTTCTTTAGAAAGTTCCTCCTTGCGGGCTCGTCTCTGCCCCTGCGGGACGCAGGGCCATCCTCTCAGAAGCCCAGGGAGCCTCCGGCCGGCTGCGCGGGCCTCCTTGGGTCTGGGAGCCGGCACTCAGAGATGTAGACCCAGAGGACGGGGTCTGCAGTCTGGGGAGGGGACCCCAACTTCTAACTTGCAAGCCCCGTTCCTCTCCTAAAGTCACGAGGCGTGTGCCCTCCGGGGGCAGAGGCACGAGCAGGCAGGGAGGTCCCCGTGCGGGCGAGGTCACAGTGACACCCCAGCAGTCACCACACCCTGCGTCCTGGCGCCCGAGGCAAGCTCCGGCTGCTCTCGGGGAGCACGGGCGCCCGGCTGCGTGGCAGGACCACGTCTCTGCAAGCTCCTGGTCATTTCCCGGGGTGCAGCCACATTCCCGTTTAAGGCTTGTTCAATCCCATTCAAAGCCCAACTTCCTTCTCTCGCACTGGCGTGGGGGGCTTTTCGGAGTTGGCTTGTTCCCCTACAGCTCCTGCTGTGGTTGGGGTGCACAAAGGGGAGGGCGGCAGGAAGGCCCACCTCGGGCCCCAGGGGTGCCACGCTCCCCCCTCCCGGGTACTCTGAGCCCAGGCCTGGGGGAAACACTGGCCAACTGGAGGTTCAACATCCGCCCAGAGAGGCTCAGAGGACTGGCAAAGAGGGGGCACCCCAACACAGGGAGACAGACGGGGAAGGAGGAGGAGGGGGACAGAGTCAGGCACGAGAGCGCGGAGGTGGGAGGGGAGGCGCAGGCAGACAGGCCGGTGAGGGGGCCCCGCCTCCCCGTGTGCTGGGGGGGGGGCGTGTCTGGAAAGCAAGCCGGGGTCACCCTGTGACAAACCCCCTACAAAGGCCATCCCAGGGCAGTCCCTCCGCTGGCCTGTCCTTCCAGGTCAGCCAGGACTCAGGCCCCCCAGCCCCCCTCGGCCTCGCCGCTGCCCCTCCTGCCCAGCACCTGCCCCACCTGACGCGGCCCCACCTGACGCGGCCCCGGCTGACAAGGGAGGCGCCCGGACCTGGGGGACAGCCTGCCCCGAGCACAGGAGGCAACAAGGAGCTGCTCCACCCCCCGCGGTGCCCACACCGAGTCTCAGGGCCGCCTGGTTCCACACAGGCCCTGACCCACCAGCAGCCTCTCACCTCCCTGCCGGCGAGTCTGTGGGGAGCAGGCGCAGACACCACGGGCCGGGTCTCAGGACAGGGCCCGGCACCGGCCCCCACCACCCGCGCCGGGTGAGGCTGCGATTGGGACAGGAGCCCCTCACCAGAGGGCCTCGGCGGGCAGCTGCCATGACAACTGCAGGCCACACAAAGCAGGGATTGTGGCCGCGGCAGGTGGCGAGGGCTGGGGGCAGGGGAAGGTAACAAAGGAGCTTTGGTCTTACAGGAACTTGGGGGTGGGGGGTAGGATGGGGACCAGACCAGAGAGGCAGGGCAGGGGCAGCTCCAGGTGCCCCCACATCCTCCGGGCCGGGCCCGGAACCTTCCCACTGGGCAGCCGTGTCTCCACGCGCAGGCCGGGGAGGGAGAAGCGGCGGGTGCGGCTCTCTCGTCTGTCACCAGAGCCTTCCCGCAGGGCACAGGCCAGGAGGGGTGGCAGCTCCCCAGAGCCAGCCAAGGCCCAAACCCCAGACCCTGCGCGGCCATGAGCCTTCTCCAGGGCCACACCCAAGCCTTTGCCAGCTCAAATGGCACCCCAGGAAGCCATGGGCATGAGGTGCCTCCCAAAGGACCACCGTGCCCCCAGCTCCACTGCACAGGAGCACCAGCCTTCCGAGCGGCCCGTCCTTCTTTCTCCCAGCCCCCCGGGGTTCGCCCGACCCCCCAGGCCCTGCCCCCATCTCACTGGTCTGCTCCGGGCTCCATTGCCACCGAGGCGCCAGGCCTCCCCACGCCCCCCCGCGTGGGCACCCCTCTCCTCTCCCGCCTGGCCCGCCCCCCGCTGCGCACCCGGTCTGGTGGCTGAAGACTGCGGTCCTGCAGCCCAGGGCGCTCTCCTGCGCTGAGAGGAGGGACTGGCAGAGGCTCCCCCACCCTGTGCTGAGCGCGTGGAACTCAAGTGTGAAATTCAGCTCCCGCACACCAGCCCGGGAGGCGAGCGGCACGTCAGGGCACAGAGGACGTCTGCAGGCTCTCCAAGCCCGGCTGGATGCGGGCGCCGGGACGGCGGCCTCGACCGCACCCCCGAAATGCTGGGGGTGCCAAGTTCACAAGGAGCCCATGAGTCGGGAGGGAGGGAGCAAATGAAACAGGGGGTTCCCCCAGGGGCTCCTCGCCCCAGTCCTTCCTAGCCACAAATATGGGGGACAAGCGGGTGTTCCCCTGCAGGAAACTGATCACAGAGATGCCCAGTCACGGCAGACAGACGCGTCCAGGGGCCATCGCGGCTCCCCGCTGCGTAGGCGAAGGTCCAGAGACGCACAGTACAGAAGCGCTCACACCCGGACGCCGACCCCAGGCCCGGAGAGGCCGGTGGCGGTGAACCCGCACACAACTGCCGGGCGCAGCAGCACCCGTGTAAACCCCACACACACCACTGTCCAGGACACTCGGGGAACAGAGGGACACGGGGGACAGCCGGTGGTGGGCTGTGCCGGGGAGAGACGGCTGGGGCCGGCGAGAGAGCGCGGGGGCTGGCTGGGGACAAGCTGGAGCCGCGGGACAGAAAGTCCTAGAAGCAGAACTAGGCCCTGCCCAGCCAGCCCCGGTGGCAAGAGGCCTCCAAGGCCAGGCCTCCAGGGATGAGCTGGCTCCCCCCGCGAACCAGAGCCCCCAGAGCTGGCTCCTCAGCCCAGCCTCCCCCATGCGCCCCTCCCAACCAGCCGCCCTCTCTCCAGGAGGCCCCGTCCCAGCCGCAGGCCCTGGTCACACTGTCCGGGTCACACTGTCCCCATCGCGCAGCGCAGGGGCTCAGGTTTCCAGCTGGCTGAGATCAGCTCCGTGGGTTTGTGGGGAGCACGGGAGGCCAGGCTGCAGAAACCATCCCTTCTGAGGCCTCCAAACGACAGCAGCTTTCCTCTCCCATCAACTCAGGCTGAGAAGAGCCGCACCCACACTTTCTACAAGGCAGGCACGTCAGTCTCCCGACACCCCCACCACACTCTTCCGGAACCATCAGTCTTCCGGCAGCATCTGAACCATGTGAGACCCCCAGCACCCACTGGGGACCCAGGCTCCGCTCACCCAAGTGAGGGGCCTTTCAGGAGCCCAAGGGGGTGGACAGTTTACCAGCACGCCTGAGACCTGTGGCTTCACAGCAGCTTGCTGGAGCCTGGACACCCGCAGCCCCAGGGGAGGTGGGCACGGAGCAGGGGTCCTCCAGGCTGGCCGAGAGCCCTGAGGGGACAGGTCCGAGCATGCATGGAAGGGAGGGGTGCTGGGAGCTGGACCTTGGAAAGACCTGGGGAGCACCTTGGAAGCTTCTGGTGGCCCGTGCCTCCAAGGCTAGCCCAGACGTGCACCTGTGGCCTCACCCCACTTTGTTGCAGGAAGGGAGGGATTCCCCAGGATGCAGCCACAGCCAGCAGGGCCCCCCATGGCCAGTCCAACAAAGACCACTCTGCCTGAGGCCTGTGCCCTGGGCAGTGCCCTGGCCAGCCTCTGGACAAACCCCAAGCCCTACACTTGCTCTCATCCAGAGTGTGGACCAAGGAGGTGGTGCAAACCCAAGGCCAACAATGGCAGGCGGCTATTGCCCAGCCCGAGTGCTACCTCCCACCCACCCCCACCCCTGTGCCTACCCCGGACAAGTAAGCCCCAGGCCTTGCCTTGCCCAGACCAGGGGAGGGCAGCCCCCTCCCCACAGCCCAGCACCAGGTACCCCAGCAATAACCAAAATGACTCTCCAGCGCCTCCAAGGCCCTCACCCCATCTTTTCAGCCACCTCCCACCCTGCTTCTCCCCGACTTCCAGACCTCAATCAGCACCATCCGCACCAGACCAAGTGCCGGAGGCGCCACCCACCGTGGCCTAGTTCCATGCCCTGCCCTGCCCCCTCCTGCTCCAGCATCTGCCAGCCTCAGTCGCCCAAGCAAGGTGGGGAGGCAGGCTGCCCGCCCCCCACAGAGAGATGCTGCAGGGGAGAGAGCCCAGAGCCTCCAGGGCAGCGAGGCCTAAGGCCTTAGAATCCAGCTTGTCTGGTTAGCCAAGTCATCCCAGACAAGCCACTTTCCACCCCTGGGCCTCAGTTTCCCCATCTGCAAATGGAATAATAGTTCTTGCTCCTGTGTAGAGAACAGTTCTGTCAAACGTGGGGACAAAAATGCGTGGAAGGGCCCTGAAAACGTTCACGAGGCGCAGTACAGATTCTCGTAGGTCACTGCTGCTGACCCTCCGTCCCCCTCCTGGTAAGAACCGTCCCTCAGATTGTCCCGGAGGAGGAGCCCAGTTTCCTGACTCCAGCTTGCTTCACCGGCACTGCCTGGGAACCAGATGCTCAGCCAGCCAGGCCAGCCAGGGCAGTCACCCCTCCCCTCCCCTCCCCCGGCCCCCCAGATCCCCGTCAGACCTCCAGGCCATTCCTTGAGGGTCCTCCTTCCAGGACTTCCCTCCACCTGCCTAGCACAAGCACCTGTCTTTAGAGCAGAGAGCAGCCATCACGTACCTGCACCCCAGCCAAGTCTCAGGAGCCTGCCAGGGCATGCGGACCCTGACCCCTAGGGCTGAGGCCACTGCTGACAACCCCTGGGAGAGGTGTCACGTTCTAATTTATAAACTTTTCCACCTTTGACTGCGTGGTGGAAAGTGATCCCTGCCTCGGGTGTCCTGCACCCCCGGACAGCATTCCTCCTGCCAGGCCACCTTGCCCTACTTGGATGCCTCAGGGTAATCCTCAGCCGGGGCCAGGTACAGGACCAGACCACCTCCACCAAAACTGGCACCGTCCTGGGGGCCACTCGGCTCTCCGGGGGACAGAGAGTCTTGGTCAGGCCTCTTAAAACCTCTGCCACCTTTAGCTCCCACAAAGCATGAGCCCCCTCACAGTCCACACGGGGTACCAGTGCGATTTGAATATGAGATCACCTGCTGCAGCCCCAGTTCCGGCCTCCTTCTTCCCACCAGCACGAAGGCTGGCCCTGCCCCACCACCCGCCGCCCAGCACGCAAGCGACGTGTCTCTACAATCAAATTTGCACCTGTTATCACTTTGCCTCATCTATTCAGTGGGTTCAGCTGAAAATGTCCTGACCAAACCGTTTCAAATCTGGCCTCTGCTCACCCTACCCCATATCCCAGCGCACCCCACTGTCCCGAGATGAGGCTCCCCTGCCTCACCGTCTTTCCATACCTGCACACCCAGCCCCCATCTCGGCTACTCTCACCCACTCGCCCCTGCCCAGCCCGACCCCGGGTGACTGTGAGCAGGCGGGCTTGGGGGATCGCTGGGCTCAGCTCCGGCCCTTCTCTCTTCAGCCTGTGCGCCCCCCCAAGCCGGCAGCATCTCCTCTGCCACCTAACGCGTCTGCCGCCACCACAACACACGAGCCTCTGAAGACAGGGAGGGTTTCTCTCTCCCCACATCCGCATGCCATAAACCGTTCATAAAACATTTTATAAGGGAACAATTAAATTAAAGAAATTTCAGGCCAAAGCACATTAGAAGCCCAGAATCACGGGGCCTTGGGGTTGAAAGGGACTCACACCCTCTCAAGCCCTTCATGTTACAGAGGGAGCCCCGGACTGCACAAGACCGTGAACGGTGGAGCCTGGCACCCCTCGGTCTCCAGCCTCTGGGGTTTGCCCCCACGGCCCCGCTGACCAAGACGACCCACCGCAGGCGCCATCCTGCCCGGGCAGCGGGCGGGCGGCACCTCTGCGCCCTCCACCGCCCAGGCCTGGCCCCGGCCCCCTGAGATCTTGGCTCTTGCGCCCACTTCCTGAAATGGAACTTTCCAGGGGATCCCGGCACTAACATATTTCCAACTTCTGAGGAGCGTCCCCCTTATTGTTCTCGCGCCCCATTTTATCCCCACTCGCTTCATCATTTATTAAGCACCTACTACGTGTCACTCTGCGGCGAGCTCTGGGCTCCCGGCCCGCCAGAGGCTCGGCCCTTGGGGAGACTGACACCAGCTCCGGCAGAGGCGCGCCCCAGGGCCTCGGGCGCCCCTCGCCCCTCCCCAGGCCCTCGCCGGCCCTCCTGCTGCTCTCGCCCCCGCCGGCAGCCCCTCCCCGCGCACCCCCCGGTCCTTGGCCCCGTGGGCTGCGAGGAGTAGGGGGAGCGGGGGGCGGGAGCGCGGGGGGCTCAGGGGACCCCGAGGCCGCGGAGGCCGCCTGCAGCCCGAGGCCGGGTGGAGACGCGCGGGGGAGCCGGCCGGGCGCTGCCCCGGCGCGGCCCGTCCCTCCGCGCGCCCCTCCCCGCCGGACGCAGAGGGACTCGGGGGGCACGGGAATAAATACCTGGGCTTTGTGGCTAAGGTTAACGGGAACTGCCGCCCCGGGGCGACTTGGGCTCTGGGCTCCCGGGCCCCGCCAGTCCCGGGCCGGCGGGGCGGGCGCGCGCCCCTGATTGGCGGGGGGCCCGGCCGTCCCCGGGGCCGCCCCGCCGCCCGGTTGGCCGCGCCGCTCAGATGACCCGGGCGGCCCTATCGGAGGCGCCCGCGGGGCGGCCCCTTTGTTCTCCGGAGCCAATGGCGGGGGTGGGCGGGCTGCCCTCGCCGCCGCGGGGCCTCGCGGGGTCCGGGCGCGCCCCGCGCGCGTTGGCGGCCGCGCGGGGTCGGCGCGCTCGGGGGGCTCGGGGGTTCGGGGGGCTCGGGGGGCGGGGCGCGGCCGGTGACCTAACAGCCCCGGCCCACGCGCTTCGGGGGTGCGGGCTGCTCTGGCCGGTGCCCGACCCGCGGGGCGCCGCGCTGGGGTGTGCGCGCGGCCTGGTGGGGCGCGGGCCCGGCGGTCGCCAGGTGTTCCAGGGAGAGGACGTCGCCGTCCCGCGGGGACAGGCACCCCCCGCACCCCGCGCGGCCGGCGCGCCTCTGGGCCGTGGCGGAGCCCGAGGGCGCCCGCAGACGCGTCCAGGCCGCCCCCGGGCGCTCTGGCCGAGGAGCGCGGGCCGCCCCGGCGATCGGGGCCAGTTGCGCGCTGGCTCCGAGGCCCGGGCGTGAAAGCACCTGCCCCGCCGCCCGCCGGGTCTAGACCGCAGATCCTGTTCCCGGGGCCCGCGGAGGAGCGCATCTTCTCGAAGACGCCCCTGACGTCGGTGAAATAACTCGCACCCCAAAGAGGGCGCAGCTCCCAACGGCAGGACCCTGCCCGGCAGCCTAGAAACCTCCCCGGGACCTGACGGACCTGACGTGGGTCCAACAGAAGCCGGGGCTCCGCGAGGCTCCCTGCAGGCCTCGCCTTCCGGTGGGTCAGCCCGCGCTGCCCGCCAGCCTCAGCCGAGGGCCCGGCCCGGCCCACCTTCCGACACGAGGCGCCTGGGAGCCAGGAGTATGGCTTTTCCGCTAACTTCGTGGGCAGTTTTTACAAGAGACTTTGTTGTCTCTGAACTTTGCCTTGTTCATCTGGAAAAGAGTGATTTCCTAGTTATATACCTTCCTGCAGGATCCCCATTAGCCTGTTGTCTGAAGATGCATCTGCACGGTGCGGAGCCCGCAGTCAGACAGCCCGGGGCCATCAGTCTGGCTCATCTTCACTTTCTGGAGGGCCCGGTGAGGCTCAGCTCAGCAAGACCGAGTCTCCAGTATCCGGCTTCAGATCTCTCCCTGCTGAGAGTGGGAAACTCATCGCCCCCTCGGGGCTGCGTTCTGCCCCTGCCGAGTGAAGGGTCTCCAGACTGCCGTGTCATGACCAAGGGTGATTCAAAGGTGGAAGGAACGAAGCGAGTGGGGCAGCCCATTTCCATTAAGCAAAAAACAAGGGGTGGGGCCTCCCCAGTGGCGCAGCGGTTGAGCGCTGGGTTGCAAAGCTGCCCGCGGCCTCTGCAGAGTGGTTCGATCCCCGGCCAGGAGGAGGGTCCCGCATGGCGCGCAGACGTCTCCTGCCGCCCGCTGCTCCCCTCAGCAGTGTCCTTCGGTCCTTCTGCCTGCTCTGCTCCCCGCTCTGGCTCTGGTGGATTCTCTCACCCTCCCGCGCTTCTGACTGTACCCAGTGCTTGTATAAATAAAAACAACAAATAAATAAATAAATCTTTAAAAAAAAAAAAAAAAACAAGGGGTGGGGGTGGGGGGTTGCTCATGTATGTTTGCAAATGCACAGGAAAAAAATGTCTGGAAAGAGCCCTCGAATCCTTTCCACTGCGTAAGGAGAAAAAGCGTGGGGTGATGGGAAGGAAGGATTTCCATATTTTCAGAAAGCTAAATAGGTCTACGATGTCTCATGCTTTTGTGATTATAAAAGAAAAGCAGCCCTGGACTTTCCAGGTTGGAAGGGCAGCTCCTTCCAGACTGCGGTCACTTGGGAACCACTAGCCACCCCCCGCAGGACCCAGGAAGGCATCATGGGCAAGTTTGTTCCATCCCTGCTTTAGCAACCCCCTCAAGGCCATGACTGCCCCAAAGCCATGGGCAGCACAGCTCTAGGGGACACTCACACCGGGCATCTCCTATAACAGCGGTGGCTTTTCGGGCCTCCCCAGTGGCGCAGCAGTTGAGCACTGGGTTGCGAAGCTGCCCGCGGCCTCTGCGGCGCAGGTTCGATCCCCGGCTGCTCCCCGGCCACCGGAGGAGGGTCCCACATGGCGCGCAGACCTCTCCTGCCGCCCGCTGCTCCCCTCAGCAGTGTACTTCGGTCCTTCTGCCTGCTCTGACTCCCCGCTCTGGCTCTGGTGAATTCTCTCACCCTCCCGCGCTTCTGACTGTACCCAGTGCTTGTATAAATAAACAAACAAATAAATTAAACATGCCTCTATTAAAAAATAAATAAAATAAAAAATAAAAGCGGTGGCTTTTGAAAGCCCAGATCCCTAGTCAGATCCCTTCTCCCTCATCCTTCCCAAAATGCTTAGAAACCTGTTTCTTGCTCCCTGCCCAGACATCTGCCTCCTTCCCTGAAGGCCTGGCTCCCATCAAGAGGTATACTTAAAGGAGGCTTACTTGAGAAAACGCCCCAGGCTCTGAGGGGTAATTTGTGTCAACTACACAGGTTCTTAAGTGGCCCCCTCACCCCATAAACCAATGGGAAACTTTGAAGCTGTCTGCTTGCAGTCTACACACTGCAAGCCCCTCCCACCTGTCTACTCATTTGTGTCCCTATTTTCTCCCCAGACTTCAGTCTCTGGGGTGCGGAGTGGGTCTGATCATTGAGACCCCTCAGTTCCCATCACGACACAGAGCAGAGTCGACAGGTGACACCTTCCCCAGCAGCAGCAGCAGCAGCTGGCCCTGCTCACCCCAGTAAGCACAGGGCCCGGGAGCCTGGAGATCCCCATGATGACCTTGAACAAATGTTTCCGCCTGTAAAAGGACACCTGCCACACAAGGACGACGTGAGGTGACGCAGGCACTTTGCAAGATGCCACCATAAGACATGGTGACAGACGCACAGACGCTATGCGGCCAGGGGCCTCAGCAGGAACTACCAACACAGGCAGGAAAAGGGCCGACGGCTGTCAGAAACAGGCACCTGGCGTGTGTGAAGATGGCCAGGGCCAGGAGGGTCCCGAAGAGGTGTCACGGGCACTGTGGTGGGCCAGTGGGGAGCCTGCAGGACAGGATCAAATCGGACCCTTTCCTCCTAACTGGCACCCGACGAGTCTGATGACCCCACAGAAGGCTGAACCCCTAGAGAACCAGCCCCACTTCTGGGTTTTCCTGGCCTCCCCAGGAAGAAATGGAGATGGGGCTCAGAGGAGTTGAAGTCAGGGTACCTGAGCTGTTAGCAGGTCCCCCCAACTAGGGGCACAGCGCGCTGCTTGGACTCCACCCCCACAGCTCCCCAGGAGAAAGGAACACTTCCCAGCCACCAGCTCTAAAACCAAATCTTTATTCTCTAGTTTGAAAAGGAGGGCGAGTAGGTGTTCCATTTAGTTCCAGAGAACAGAACAAGGCCCAATAGGTAGAAATCATAGGAAAGCAGATTTCATTCGTTATAAGGAAGAATTTCTAACAATTAGAATGATCCTACAATAGAACCAGGGCCTCGGGAGGTGGGGACCCCCTGTCACCTAAGCGTTCAAGCAGAGGCTGGGCATCTGAGCGCTAAAAATGTGGAGAAGGAAACTCGCCCCACGTCTCCCTCCACTGACCCTCCTCCCCACCAAGGATGAGTTCCGGGGGGAGCAGCGGGCAGGGTGTTCAGACGGAAGCCTGTCTGGGCTGCTGAAGGTCAAGGGCTCGAAGCACTGAGAGGAGTGAATAAAGCAAGTCGGGCCTGCGAGCCCACCCCGGGGGGGCGGAACTTCAGGGAGGCAGGGGGTGAGCAGGGCTAGCAGGAGAGGGTCTCTCCGCCTAGGAGCCTGAGCAGGGCGGGAAGGAGGGGACAGGCAGGCGCATTGGCTTCCTGCCCAAGCTGGAAAGGCCCAGGGGCTGCTAACAAGGCCAGCAGGTTCTCCCAGGCGCGCGCTCCACTCACTAAACAAGACACCACGCCTGCTCCCGACCAGGCCCAGGGAACACAAGACAGGCGTTAAGGCGTCACAGCAGAGAAGGGGCCTCCGCCCACTGGTGGCTGCTCGGGCAGCAGGGCCCTGGTGGGGGCCGGGGGTCCTACGCTACTTTCCCAGGAGGGACCACAGCAAACACAGCTGGCACTGGGGTCCCTGTGCTCTGGGGGGTTCCCTGGCCCCGGGGGCTGACCTTCCTCTCTAACAAGGTGCTTGCTCCTGCCTCCCCCAGCCCTTCCCAGTCCCCAGCCCTGGCTGCCCCCCGCGGCCACGCAGGCCCCCACGGCCAAGGCCGGCTCCCACCGGAGCGCGCGGCGGCCTCTCAGACGTCGTGCTTCTTCTGGTGGGCCAGGAGCTTGTCCTCGTCGTCGAAGGTCTGGCCGCAGATGGCGCAGCAGAAGGCGCCGTCCCGGATGTGGCTCTTGCGGTGGGTGATGAGGTTGGACTTCTGGCTGAAGCTGCGGTCGCAGTCGGGGCAGGCGTAGGGGCGCTCGCCCGTGTGGATGCGCCGGTGGGACACCAGGTTGGACTTCTGGCTGAAGGCCTTGCCGCAGTCGGGGCACACGTAGGGCTTCTCGCCGGTGTGGATGCGCCGGTGGGCGGCCAGGTAGGGCTTGTGGCGGAAGGCCTTGCCGCAGTCCGGGCACACGAAGGGCCGCTCGGGCGCGTGGTCGCGCCGGTGCGCCGCCAGGTGGCTGCCCTGCGAGAAGCGGCGCCCGCACTCCTCGCAGGCGAAGGGCCGCTCCCCCGAGTGCACCCGCGCGTGCGCCGCCAGGTGCGTCTTCTTGCCGAAGTTCTTGCCGCACTCGGCGCAGGCGAAGGGCCGCTCCCCGCTGTGCTGCCGCCGGTGCGCCCGCAGGAAGCGCTCCAGCCGGAAGGCGCGGCCGCAGTCCTCGCAGCTGTGCGGCGCGGGGGGCGCCGCGGCCGGGTCCCGCGGGGCTCCCCGGGCGCGCCCGGCCGCGGGGCGGGGGCCGGCTCCGGCGCGGGCCTGCGCCCAGGGCCGCGGGCTCGGCGGCGGGCTCCGGGGGCGCGGCGGGCAGCGGGGGGCTCCCCGAGCCCTGGGCGCCGGGGCCGCGCCCTCGGAGCGCCTGTGGATCTTGCTGTGGGACAGGAGGTTGGGCTTGTGGCGGAAGCGGCGGCCGCACTCCGAGCAGGGGTAGGGCTTCTCGCCGGTGTGGATGCGCCGGTGCGAGGTCAGGTAGGGCTTGTTGGTGAAGCGCTTGCCGCACTCGGGGCACTGGTGCGGCCGCTCGCCCGTGTGCACGCGCCGGTGCGCGATCAGGTTGGGCTTGTGGCGGAAGCGCTTGCCGCAGCAGGCGCACTGGAAGGGGCGGTCCACGGCGTCCCCCCGGCCGGGGCGCGGTCACCGCGGGCGGCCGCGGGGCCGCGGGCCCAGCGCCTTGGCCGCGGCCTCCTCCAGCGCCTCGGCGACGTGAACCCGCTTGTGAGCCACCAGCTGGTCCCACTGCGCGAAGCTGCGGCCGCAGTTGCCGCAGATGAAGGGCCGGGCCTCGGGGGCGGGCGGGTGGCAGCGCCGCACGTGGGCGCGGAGCTGCTTGCGGCGCCAGAAGCGTCTCTCACACTCGGGGCAGGCCTGGGGCCGCTTGGCGGCCGAGTGCGCCCGCAGGTGCAGAGCCAGCGCCACCCAGCTCCGGAAGCTCTGGCGGCAGAGGTGGCAGGCGAAGCCCAGGTCGGGGGTGGCCGCGGCGTGGACCTGGCGGTGCAGCGCCAAGAAGGGGGCGTGTCGGAAGCGCCGGCCACATTCCGCGCAGGGCAGGGGCAGCCGGGCCTGGCAGCGCCGCGCGTGCAGCCACAGGGCCACCCAGCCGGGAAGTGCCGCCGACAGTGGCCACAGCGATGGGCCCTGCCCGGGGCCTGGCTGTCCGCCTGGGCCACGGGAGTGCCGGGTGACCTCAGCCCGCGGGGCTCCTTCTCCAGGGCCTGGGGGACCCCTGAGAAGGCCCTGAGAGGGGCCGGGGCTGGACGGGCCCCATGGCCAGGGGGCCCCTGCAGCGCCGTTCCAGCATGCGCTCTTCCTCTGTGGAGGGCGGAAAAGCACGTCACTCTGGAGATCCACTTAGCCTGCCCCCACCCCCTGCACCCACAGCCCACCCCAGGCAGGAGGTACACCCCTCTGACCTCCTAGAGCCCTTGGGCCTAAACCACCCTGCACTTCCTGGCATGCCCTATGTGACTTCAGCCTGGGGCTCTGGACACGACGGCAAATGTACCTGGCCTGAGGCTTCCGAGGCTGGAAACTAGAGAAGGGAGGACTCGGACGCTTCTTGGCACCCCCGCTCTGGCAGCTGCCCCGGGTCTGGCCCGGAGTACACACTGCAGAGGTGGCTGCAAGAACACTCCAGTCCCAGGACTCACCAGAAAGCCTCCCCCGGGCGCTGGACTGTCCCCAGGGCTTCCCCACCCCTGCCTGTTTCTATTTCCTGCCGCCACACCTGAGGCTGCCGGCAGCCCTGAAGCTCTGTGCTTGACAGATACGGCAACTCTCACCCAGGAAAAGGTGGCGGAGCTTGCCCGAGGGGACAACAGAAACCAACGGCAGAACCCGGAGGCGACTGACCTTCCAAACTCCGGGGCACTTTCTCTCGCCAGGCAGATAAGGCGCCCGCAGAAAGACACCCACAGCCTCTCGTTCCTGTCACCCTCCCCTCCAGGCTCCCATCTCATCTAATCTGATCACGAGGGAGGCTCCTCCGGCCTCCCTGACCTGTGTCTCATGTAGAAGCCCAGCGCGCCCGTGAGAACTGCCGTTCTGGAGGACGGGCGGGAGCTGGACGCAGCCCCCAGCCAAGATGAATGCTGGGCCACCACCTGTCCAGACCGTGCCCGCATTCTGCCCGTCTGCCCTCCTCCGCCCACACACACGTGATCAGGGCCCTGCAGGAAGGAGCTCTCCTGGATCCAAGGAACACCCACAACCTGCTGCCTGGGGGCCGGGGGAGGGGTGCGTCCCTGCCCGCTCTCCTCCCTCGGGTGGTAGGGATTACTGGGGCAAGAGGAGTGGAAAGAAGAGATTGTTATCCCTGTCCCCTGCCTGGTCCTGCCCGAACCCTGCCAGGGGCGGCCCCACATTCAGCTCCCGCAGGAGCAGCACCAGGGAGCCCGATCCTACAGGAGGTGGTGGGGGTGACTCCTGGCTGCGCTCAAGCTCCAGCCACATCCTCCTAGAGGGTCTGCACTGGGTGGTGGCGCAGAGGCAGGACTCGCAGGCCACAGCAGACCAGAGCCTCGGAGGGGGGCCTTCCCACTGCCACTGGGGAGAGGGCTGAGGCTGCAAATGGTGGGGAACCCAACAAAGAAGGCCAGACTCTACCCTGCAGAGTGTGCAGCTGGAGATGAGGCTTTTTCCAGCTCCTCCCGGGGACGGTCCTGGGGCTACTTCTGCGGCTGCAGCGCCTGCTCCGGCCCACACTCTGGTAGCCCCCAGATGTCAGAGAAAACTGCAGCAGTAGAGACACCCCTACCCCCATGGCAGAGCTCAGACCTCCGAGCGCGGAGAGGCCAGCCTTACCTGCGGGGAGGGGGGAGGAAACACGCGTGAGGCTCTGGGCTCCCCCCGGCGTCATCTTTGTGTCCTCGCCAGCCACCACCCCGCCCCACCCAGGCCCCGCACCCCGCCGCCCGGCAGTGACCTTAATGGGTGCTGGATTAATACACGCACGCGCCCCCCTCCACGAGGAAGTGCGCGCCGCGCCGGGGGGTCACTTCCTCCCGGGGCGAGGTCACCGCGCGGAGTCTCCATGCCGGCGACCCGCGGCCGGCCTGGGGCAGGAGCGCGCGGGCCCGGCCGGCTCCCCTTCCCCCAGCGGCCTCCCGGCAGGAATTCCGGGCCCGGCTCCCCAGGGGCGGCGCGGGCGGGCTCGGGGGACCGGGGCCCGGGCACGACCCCCCGGCGCATCCCGACCCGGCCAGGGGCCGCGGGGACCCCACCCCCCGGGGGGTCGGCGCGCGCCCCGGTCCCGGCTCCCCGCGGCCCTCCGGGTCCCCGCCGCGCCCGCGCGCAGGTGCGCGCCCCCCCCAGCCGGCCCCCCGCGCGGTCACGCGCCCGCAGGTGGAGCCCCCCCGCCGGGCCGGCCCCCGCCCGGGACGAACCTCTCCGGCGGGCGGCGCGGAGGCGCGTGGCGCGTCCATGAGGCCGGGACGCGGCGCCGGCGGCCGCGCTCCCCACCCGCCGCGGCGACAGCGGCAGGTTCGAGTTCACCCCCGCCAGGCCCGCCGCCCCCCGTCCCCGCCACGTGACTACAGGAGCTGCCGAGGGTCAGTCCCGGGCTCGGCCGGCGGCCGCGGCCGGAGGGCGGGCCGGGCCGGGCCGGGCCGGGCGGGGCGCCGCGGGCGGCCGCGCGGGCCGTCGCCCCGCCCCCCAGCGCCCCCTCGCGGGCCGGGGCCGCGGCGGGCCCCGCTCCGTTGCCAGGCGACCGCGGCCGGGTTTTCCGGGGCGACCGGGCGCCGGTTTCCCGACCCTTTGTCCCGCCCGAGGACGCGCGTCCCCGGCGACCGCGTGGCCAGGCTGCGGCCCGCGCTCGCCCCGGCCTCGCGGGGGACGCGGCTCCCCGCGCCGAGGGCGCCCGCCCCGGGCCGCCCCCACTGCCCCGGGCCGCACCCCCTGCCCCGGGCCGCCCCCCTGCCCGAGCCGCCCCCCTCCCCGAGCCCACCCCCTGCCCCGGGCCGCCCCCCTGCCCCGGGCCGCCCCCCTGCCCCGGGCGCAGCCGCCCCCTGGACCGTCGAGGGCGCGGGACCCTCGCGCCGCGGGGTGCGGGCGAGGCAAGCCCAGGGCCGGCCGCGGGTTTGCCCGGCGGGGAGCAGGGGAGGCCCGCCGCCCCGAACTTCGCAAAGGGGGCGCGGTCCCTCCGGAGGGAGGCCCGAGCGGGCGCCCCGGCTCCGGGGGCGCGGGGGGCGCGGGGCGCGCTGGCTCTCGGCCCGCGGGGGCAGGTGCAGGCGGCGCCGGGGACTCCCCTCCGCGCACAGGTGGCCCCAACGGTCCCAGCGGGCGCTCCCCGCGCTCCGAGGCCAGGGCGATTCGTGTATTTTACGCTTTTCAACCAGGACGAGTTGTAATTGTACCGTTACTTTTAAACCACTTTTAAAATCTGTTGCATAAATAGGAAACATAAAAACTCTCTCCTGCTTTTCACCTCCTGGTCGATGTCGGGAGATGCTCGGGGCCGCCCCGCCTGTCTTCTCTTCTCTGGCTCCTCCGTGCCCTGGGGCCGCTGGGACGAGGCCTCGCACGCGTGTCCCGCCCCGTCCACGTCCCTGTCGTGGGACTTTTCTCCCACTTTATTACTCTTTTGCGAGACGGCTCTCGACGGCCGCCTCCACGGAGGCACAGATTGCTTATTAATTTTGCTTATAAATCCTCCGCTGGCAGGATTCTGGCGGGGCCAGAAAGGGGCAGAGATAACAACTCTTTGCTTCTCTCGCTCCGTTGTCGGGACTTTGTGTCATTACAGAATCATCTTTTATTGCACCGTGTCTGATTTTAAATGTCTGGAAGGAGGGAACCCCTAGGTCAAAGGCAGAGTATATGTTTACATGTTTTCTGTGTTATCTTCCAGAAAGCTCTGTTCCTGTTCCCTGGAGAGGTGCGGGGCTCTCCACATCCCCGACCAGGCCAGGCTGTCTAATTCAATATAATGCGCTTCCATCTCCTGGCTTGGATTGCAGCTCTCAGATTTCTGGTGCGCTGGCTTGTTTTCCCAGCGCGTTTGTATGTTCTTTTTTGTGGATTTGCTTATGTGTCTTGGCCCACTTTTCTGTGTGTCCATTTGCCAAGCTGGGTGTGGTTTTATTTCACACCAATGGGGGTGCACGCCTCAGGAAGGAAAGTCTTTGATGGTTTCTGCCTTTATTGCTGTTCACAACTCACCTCCCTTGCCGGCAATTTGTGTTTTATGTTTGTTGTTTTATCACAGAAAATAAGTTTTAATAGCTAGTAGTATACCATTGGCCCTACACATGGATTCTTCTTTGTTGTTTTCCAGAACTTTTTCGACTAGACTCACTCATTGATTCTTCCCAATGAACTTTGGAATTTCTCATCAATATTTTTTAAATCTATTGAAGAGATTGTTTGCTCAGGTCTCATTTTGCCTTTCACAGTCAGGTTTTATGTTACCAGATTAAATATGCATTTCAGATAATTCACAAATGTGAAAAAAAAATCTTTGTCAAAAAAAAATCTTGCAGTTTCAGGGCACGAAACTATGGCCACAGCACTTTGTGGAATGCGAGGGACAGTGGCTGTTCCCGGCACCAGTGCCCAGAAGCCACTCCAGCCTTTAGCAGTGCCCTAGGGGTGCCACTGCTGTTTGGTTTCCTCTCTTGTGTCAGACGTGGTGATAAACGCTTCACCCGCATATCTCACTTAAACCGCCCCCACCTCGCTTCACCATATCTCACTTAACCCCCTTAACACCCCGGGAATACTCTTCTGGTCCTCATTTTACAAACGAAACCTCGAGATTCAGAGATGTTAATGAACTGGCCAAGTCCACACCCCCTGGAAAGTGGCGCAGAGGAACCCAGCCTTACTCCTCACCACTGACTCGTGTGTGTATGGGGGAGGGGTGGTACATATGGCATGTGTATGTGTATGGTGTGTGCTGTGTTTGTGTGTGGTGTGTTGGTGTGTGTGTCCAAAGCACTGAGTGCGGGCCCAGCCACGTTGTGCTGAGCACCTGTTGCTCTGGGCCTGCCACGCACCTCTGAAGTCTCTCCATCACCCCATTCCCACGAGGACCCTCCAAGGGGAAGTAGACGTGTGGGTCCCTCTGGGAGGACAGGCTCTGCCCTTGAACAAGGCCCTGAAGGACTCGGTCATTTGCAGCCCCTGGGAGAAATGCCTTCTCCCCAGCCAGGAGCTGGCCAGCCGTGACTTCCTCTTCGGGCAGAGCCGGAGCAAATGGGTCCCCTCTGGCTGCACCCTGCTCTGCAGGGAAAACAGTGGCCAAAGAGCTGTGGGCACCCCTGAGCCCTCTGCCAGCCAGAAATGTCAGGCCTTCGCACTTGGATCTCACCCCTGAGGGAGGGCTGCCCAGTGCCCAGCCCTGTGGCCTCGCCCAGCAGGGTCTGCTGAGCTTCCACGTGCCAGCCAGAGAACGGGGCTGCACAGGCACGGACCCACAGGACAGCGACCGAGGGCCCCAGCGCTGCACCTGCCTCACCAGGGTGCCTGCTGCCTCCTAGCATAGATGGCCGAGCAGGGGGCAGAAGGGGCACCCACATTCTCAGGAGCTACCCGGATCTGGAAGAGGGAACTGCCCGCTGCGTAGGTGTCTGTCCCGGGGCCACCCTCCGCCTTCGCACAGACCAGGCTGCTGTTCGGCCACATCAAAGGCTGTCGTGGGACTTTGGAACCTGGTGTTGCCGGAACCATCTCTCCAGTTAGTCCTTAAGCTGCAGTGAAACCACATGTCTGTTGACCATTTTGGAATGGACGCCTCTAGGGAGCCGGCAGATGGGCAGCAGGGGCCAAGAGAGGAAGACCCCACTTCACCCTCCTTCACTCCGGCTCCCCACAGCAACCCCCAGGGCAGGTGGGGAACTCCAGAGCCCCACTGCAGGCTTTGCAGGCAGTCGAGGGAGGAGGCAGAAACCACAGACCTCGCGGGCCTTGAGAGGGGCTCGCCTGGCCCCAGTGCCAGGACTCCGGGCACAGAAGACCCTCTGCTCTGCCTCAGTTCCCCCGGGTTCCTCTCCCTGCCCCCCCCCACGGGACTGACCTCATGCCACTGTGCCCCCCGCTTCCGGCCCTGACAACGCGGCAGCCCCCACCGCCTCCCCGCTCTGCCCGCAAGGCGGCGGCCTGCCTCCTGCCCGGGCTCGGCGCCGCTGTGTGCGCTGGGTTCCTGCCGCAAAGCCAGGGCTCTGGTGGCCTTTTTTTTTTTTTTTTTTAATTGAAAAGGACAGGTTGACTAGGAAAAGGAGAGGGGAAAAAAGGCTCCTGCGTAGCCACAGGTGGGCAGAGAAACGCCGCTGCTTTGCGCAGGGAAAAGGTTTGTGAGAACCTTTGCAGAGAAACCGCTGCACGGTCACGGGTGGGCAGGAGACTGTGGGCCGGTCTGTCTCGCCCCCTGGCTGGCCACCCCGAGAAAGGGGGCAGGTTGGGCAGCCCACGGTGAGCATGCACCGGCCCGTGAGGCGAGGGCCAGCACCCATGGGTGGGCTCGCTGGGTCAGACCACGTTGGCCCGTTGTTTATGTGACTTCGAGCTCTCGCCCTCGGCCCCTGCGCGTTCCCCGGGGAAAGGCCTCTGCCGAGAGCAACGCCTCTTTCTCTTACAGAAACGCCCAGACCACACACGAGTGAAGCAGAGGGCCGGGGGCTGGAGGAACACCTGTCTGTGGCTGTCCGGCTGCAGGACCCTGACTGGAGCCATCGGAACAGTCCCCTCTCCGGTTCTCCCTGGGCTGGCTGAGCCGACATGTGAACACCCCTCAGACAGGAGGAGGAAAGGCCCCATTTAGTTACACACACGGGGAGAATTGACATGGCTGTAATCTCTAAAGCAAATGGGGCACAGCGGGGGTTTCTATCCTGGGCTAAGGAGCGGGACGGGCCCAGTGTGTCCGGAGAGGAGGGTCTGGCATGAGGCGGGCATGACCTTGCGTGGCCAGACCCGCCCTCAGGGAGGTGTCGCCAGCGGAATGCGCGCTGGCTGGGAAGTCTGCATTCTTTGCAGCTGTGATCTCTCTCTGGCCCACATGCCTCGAGGGCCCTTAGTTCCACATGCCAAGGTCACAGTGTCAGAAAGAGCCTGCTCTGGGCAGCCAGGAAAAAGCCAACCTGAACATTTTGGGGAGACTGATTCCACATAACAGTGCCTTAAGTATATCTTTCATCTGGAACAATATTCTAGAACAATGAACGCAGGTACCTTTAAGGAACCTCTGGTTCCGGGGGCAATGGCTGTGGCCAGAGGTACCCTCAGGCTCTGGGGGGACTGTGCCCACTCCCTGGAGACTGTGATTCCCACACCCCAGCAGGAAAAGCAGTCACAAACCACCTGGTGGCTCAGCTAAGTGAGAAGGTCCTTGCCTTTAGCTGGAAACCCAGTTTACCTTTTTCTTTTATGCTTTTTTTTTTTTGGCATACAAAAACTGGGGTGCAGACCAGAGGTGCGGGGGTAAGAGGATTCAGC